GTTGTTTCAGTTTTTCTTTGCCAATTTGCTTTAACATTTAGACACAGATGCACTCTTTTTGCACTCTTTTTCACAATATCTAAGTTAAATTAAAGATTGAATCATCTCCTAGATTTAATGCATTGATTGTTTCTAGTGTACATGAAAAGTTGGTAATATAAGATGGTAGAAAAAGAAACATTATGGAGTTCCCTGTTATCACAGGGAGGAAAGATGATGCAGTATAGAGCAAAATGTGTATCTGAATTAGGAAATCAAAATTACAAATTAAAAAAATCTAACTTCAGTTTTTGGTGACACCTTCACTAACACAATTCTTCATTATAGTACTACTGATTAGTTCATAATAAATCTTACACAGGAATTACTATTCTTTTTTAAGAATGTTCTCTCTGATTTCTGAGAGCTAGACATTGCATGCACTAACACTGGGGGAGTGGAACAGTTTTGTGACTTTTTTGGACTGTGCTGAGTGAATTAAAAATAGCTTTCATCTTAAGTGGCTTCAGTCTACTAAAATGTCCTGAGGTTTAATGCAATCTCTACTGTTTGTCTGTCAGAAAAATAAACACAGCGTGAAAACAGAAGTCATCATGATGCATTAAGACTTGTTTAAGAATAAACATTTTCCTTCCTGTCCTTTTTTTCTTAGAAGAGCTTTCAGTCTTTCCTGCCTTCTCCCTTTAAAGAAATGCAGTTTGTTGCATTGGATTTCTCTCCACTTTGCAGAACTGGGAAGGAGGATGTGCTATAAATTTTGAATTGTTTGGAAGGCCTTGACCTTGGGCATGCACAATTACTTGGATTCAATCTGGGCATCCCAGCCTTGTTGTAGTTACGGTCATGTGTTTGCTCTGGTAATCTGACAGTTTAAGGATTTACTTAGAGCTGGAGCAACTTGGCATTTTTTTTCACTGTTTACATCATGGCCCAAGAGAATAGTTGTAGCTTATGGTTACCAGTAAAATATACTAAATCTTACTGCTTGTATTGCATGGGAAAGATTCTGCAAACAACACCTGCAAATCATTCTTTTGAAGATTCTGAGTTCTCACCATTTGCTCTGCAGTATCTGCGTGCACAGAGAACAGTCTGTCAGTGACAAGTTAAATATCTGTCTGTGCAGCAGCACAGCCACTAATCTGCAAACATCTGCTGCTGCTGATCTACAGGCAGATGACTAGTCTGTAAAGAAAACTGAGTTCATTGACACTGTTATGAAGAATTTAGAGTTAAATATGGTAATTTTTATACTTCCTTCTACAGAAGCTAAAGAGTAAGTTACCTTCATATACAAAAAGTTATCTAACCATATACATGTTAGGTTGGGCATGTGAGCTGAAGTTCTGTGATGTAGTTTTATGTTCTTGCTGTCACGGTTTCTTCAGTGGGACTGCAGCTGGCTGCTTAGAAGCTTGCATTGCTGTTTTTTCTCTTTTGTGTCCCGCTTCATGATAATGGTTTTTAATCTCTTTATCACCTCTTCTCTTACCTCTTAGGGTTCTGATCCTACAGCTTTTTCTGTACTTACACAAGCTATTACTGGCCAAGTGGGTTTTGTGGATGCTGAATTTTGTACAACTTGTGGGGGAAAAGGAGCAGACAAAAGATGTTCAGTATGTAAAATGGTAAGAATCCATAAATAGTTCCAATGAATCACAAAAAATAGTATCACTGATGTGCTGAGGATTTTGAATGCTTGACTGTTTATTGTGTAGACTTAGGAAGAATGACACATAGGCCTACACTGAAAAAGTGCAAGCCATCTACCTCCGGGACAGATGCCTGAAATTCATAGATTGGAATACTAGGATTTCCATGTGTGTCTGTATAAGAATTTAAAAAGAGTAAAGTGTCTGTATCTTCAAGAGTTAAAATAGAGTTTTATATAGGTTAGAATCATTCCATATGACCTTTCAAATGGCTTAAAAATACCATTAAGCAGTATACATAGAGAGGTTTAACTTGGTACACTATAAAATGCAAGAATATTGTAGTTTTGTTTTGTTTTTTACATAGAGCTGAATTGATAGCTTTGATAACTTTCAGGTGATGTACTGTGACCAGAACTGCCAGAAGATTCACTGGTTTACCCACAAAAAAGTCTGCAAGACCCTGAAGGAGATTCATGAGAAACAAGAACTAGAAGCTGCCAAAGAAAAAAGGAAACAAGAAAAGAAGCAAAAGAAAGGTTGGAATCTGTAGATTGCTGAAACTAATGCTGTATTAACCGCACCACAAGGAACAACAGCAACAGGTCTTAAACCCTGTAACAGCTGAAGTTGAAATAAATCTTTGTTGTAGCATAACAGTATACCTGCACTTGGAATTCTAATGTTGTCATTCACAAATGTCATGTAGTTTCTAAACTTTTTTTAAGGCTGGAGTTGCATAGGTGTCTACCACTAAAGTATTCTGACTTAGACTGCACTGTTTCAAAATCCAAGTCTTTAATCAAAAACATGTAGGAGTTTCATGCTACTCTCCATAGCCAGATGAGACCTTGGCAGGGCTTGGGCAGTGTTGTCAGAATGAGAAACCCAGATGAACAACTTGGGAAGGTATGGGCTTCCAACTCAGCATTCCCCTCTTGTAAGAATTATAAGCACACAACCCCTACTTAGCAAAATCAAGGCATAAAATTACTTTACTTTTTTTTTTCTCTTGAAAAATAAAGGCGCAACAGTTGATTCTGTTTGATGCAGTCAGGTTATAAATGTTAGAATTACTTCAACCAAAGTTCATTGTGATCAGCTATTCATTAGCAAATAATTTCTTCAGTCTGTTATATGCAAAAAGGCTTCCTATGTAATCATATACATGCCCTTTTTTTTAAAGAAAAACAAAATGCACCTGTACTCTTATGTTTAATTGACCTTCAGCCATTCTTTGAAAAGCTAACTCTAATAATAGTGTTAATAAAGCATGTTTGATTTGAAAACTAAAGTAACTGTCCTACTCTGCTCCTCTATATATTAAAAAGAAGTATGGCAAAATTGAAGATAAATAGATGAGAGCTTTGTGTAGGTTTAGTTTCGGAATAATCTTACAGCAACTTAAGCATAACTCTAGTATCTTCGTTCTTTTTTGATGAAGTGTGGTTACATTAATCACTTTTGCAATCGATGCAGTTTCCTCATGTTCAATACTCTTCAATAACAAAAATGTTTGCTTGCAGATAAGATGACAGTTATACTTATGATGCAATTTCTCTTTTGTTTAGAAGAAGAGCAACTAGTAGAGGGTAGTTCTACAAGTGAAGAACAGTCAGATCTTCGTCCAGATGCTACCAAAGAAGTGCATCCAAAGCATGCTACTGACCGAACAGAAGAACTTGAATTTACCAAAGAGAAGGTGTCACTAGCCCTGAATCCTGAAAGTCCCCTGGAAAGTCAGACTGACTTAGCTGACATTGCTCTTCAAAAAATTAAAGATTCTGAGGAATAAGAGGGTAGGAAGCAACTAAGTGTTCTGGCTATGTCCCTGTACCTTACAGTTTCTAAAGAATTTGTTATGCTGACCACGTCCGAGTTCTTACAGCATAGCTTATGCAAGACTCCCTTTGAAAGATAGCATGTCTCTGTTCATCATCAGATGAAATACTGACTAATTTATCTATAATTCCTTCAGGTTTTGTTGTAGATTGTCAAATTAGGTATTTATTATCTGATATAAAAGTGTCAAAGATCCATCTGTATGTATACCAACAGTAAACAGAGGGAAAATATATGAGTATCTGTGGTTAATAAGCCACATAGTGAAAAACAGAATCATAAAATGGTTTGGGTTGGAAGGTAGCTTAAGGATCATCTAGTTCCAACCCCCCATCATCTGCAGGGATATCTCCCACTGGACCAGGTTGCTCAAAGTCCTGTCTGACCTGGCCTTGAACACTTCCAGATTAAATAAAAAGCATTTTATTTGCATTATTAAGGTTTGCAGAACCTAAAATCTGTTTTAAAATACCTTAAATACTTGTTCTGCAAGTACACAGGACTGTAGTTAAAAGCATTGGGAAGCCAACTGTTAAATTGCTTCTCTACATCACTTCATGAAGCTTTATATGAAGGAATTCAGTAGCAGTTTAATTTCCAAACTAGTAATCTGAATTCTCAATTTTTCCTGACATGACTATAAATATTTTTTACTAGTGAGTACAAAACAATAGTGTCTATATTGTAGCAATTTTATTAAATGGTACTACCATTTCAGATGTCACAAGCTGACTGTGAAATGAGTGTTTCAACAGAATTACTCCAGTATTGGTTTGGTCAGAAATATTCCAAGTTTGTCAGAGTCTTATGAAGGGAAGACCAGAGGGATTTAAAACATTTTGACTGACAAGAATACTGGTTTCTAAATCTCAGCTTTCAGGTAAAGATGCCTTAGAGCACACTGGGTTGTTGCTTATGAAGTGTTTTATAAACATAAAGGATGCTTAGTATTGCTTATGCCGAACCGGATCACAGTAAATTAAATGGGAAAATTCACGTGTTTGTTGGTACAACTGAGATTTCATTTATGCTTTCAAGTAAATACCATTACCTAGAACATAGCTCCCCTTAACTATGCTGTTTTCACTCAGATTTACTGTGTCTCATGAAATCAATGGGAATGCCACAACCAAAAAAAATCACTTGCTGCAAAAGGATGGAAAAATTTGAGATTCCCTAATTGTTAGGTGAATAAATGGTGTTTTGAACATGGCAGTATCCTTCAACCTGGAGAAATAAGGACCATCCTCAAAAAACGCTGTCCATTTTTTACCATTGAATATATTGAAAGTTTTTGTTTAATATTCTGAAAACTGTAAGAGTGATGATACATAAATGCATCTGTGCAGGGAATGTACCTGTGTTTTAATTTCAAGGATTAGAAGAATAAATTGTGAAGAATAAAGGGAAGTTTTTTAAAAGAAGGGAACTGAGTGGCAATTCTTGTTTACCTTATCTGTCAATGCCTGCTGGGACATTCTCATTTGACGTGCATGGGCCTCCAGTAGCTCAGGTGTACAAGTTTAATTCCATGACAATTGGCAAGCAAGGGATTCATGCCTGGAACTTGAAATGGAGTAGTGATGCAGTCACTCTTGGGACTGCAGAAGAGCTGCTGGTTCTTTAGTCATGCATAGCATTTGGGTGTCACCGGGATGTGTCACTCAGAGGTTTCTCTGAAAGTGGAAACCCTTTTGGACAAACGATTCACAGTTTCAGAAGTGTGGTAAAACCCACAGCACAAATCCTTCTTTCATTCTGCCAGCTTAGGGTTTTTCTTGATAGAGAAGAAAAGCCCAAGCAATAGAAGAAAGTACAAACATTAGAAATATGTCTGAAGGGATCATTGACAGATTATGAACTTGTGTTCTCATTCTAATTTGAAAAGCCTTCAAAGTCACTGTTAGCAGAGGCTGCCACACTTTCTTCTCTGTACTGAGCCTCAGAGTAGAGCTGTGGCAATCCAAGTTGGGGTCCTGGTGCACACTGATGCTCCAGAGCTACCTCTGTCTTCCTCACCTGGAACCAGTGACAGCTCTTCCATTGGAAGATCATGGTTGATAGCTCCTCCATAAACTTGTGGTAATGACTAGCTGTTGCATATCATGTTTTGGAGGAAACATCTTGTGTGATGTGTTACTTATAAGGAACTTGCACATGAATTTTCATTCTACTTTAATTGCCTGATTCCTTAAGCAAGGTTTTTAGTGACAGGACAGCTGTGGAGTGCAAAGCCAACAGACACACCTGCACCTTCAAGGGTGTGTGATTCTTCCCCTCCACTAGGAAAAATGGAGTTCTCACTTCAGCTGTTTTGCTAGATTTAAGAATGTAGCAACTGCTAATCTATCTAGCCTGCTTCATCACAGTTCCTGTTCCCTAATTTTAGGCTACGTGTTGTTTCATATCTAATCTCTCTTCTACTGTTTTCTTCACCCTGAGACATCAGATTGAGTAAAAAATATCTAAGAGCTTCTGAAACTACCAGCATATCTTCTAGTCAACTAAATGTTTCATGTTCAAATCACTTTAGATTTTTGATGCAGATAGATTTCCAAGGTTTTTCTTATCTAACTGAAGGGAATTCTCAGCAAAATCATACATTTCCTTTGTAATTCAAGTATTTTTATATATAAATATCTAACATTACTCATTTTTCACTAATGGCTTTGAAACAGACTCAAGCCTTTTGACAAAGCTCAAATGGATGAGCAGATGGGAAGCACTGCCTTTTAAGTAAGGTGGACATGTTGGCAGTCTGTGATTCTAGTGACTTGTAACTTGTTGGGACAGCATCCAACATTTACAAACTACAGATCTTACCAGGTAGCAAACATGACAATGAAGAGCTTCTGGATCCCATGGCATGGGGGTTTGGGGTTTTGTTTAATCTATGGGACACTTGTGTGCAAAAGTGGGAGGGCCAAAAAATCTAAGAGGTTTTGATGGACTTTTCAACATCAAAAATTATATATGTGTAAATAAACTCATTGTCTTCTCTGAGCCCACCTGTATGCTCAAAAGATTACAAGAAGTCATGTTTAAGTTCTTTAACAGTCACTCCTGTAAAATGTATATTTTCTTTTCAAAATTACATTATTTGAAAAAAAAAAGTTATATTAGTTGTTAAAAAATATTCTATAATAAAATTCTTTATGTTTTAACATTACATTGCAGCATTCTCTTGAGCAGAAAATTAAAACAATCATTTCACTGTAATATTTTTTTTAATAAAGAGAGAGGCAGAAAAATATTCCAGGTCAGAAATACTGTGCCTCTAATTTGATTTAAAAAATTGGAAAAAAAACCCAAGGAATTTACTCTAAAATTACATTGCTTACTACCTTAGTCTAGTTCCAAGTGGGATACACTCTACTTTCAGATTAACTCTCATAAATTCAGCTTTATGACATGTAAAATCTACAGATTCTGGGATTGTGAAATTGCATCATATGATTACATCATAGATTTACATCATAGACTTACCTCCATGTGCAAACGCAACTGTCAGAGTTAAAAGTCTGAAGACAAACTAGGGATTAGACTTACTAAATCCTAATGGACAGTTATCTGGGGAGGACCTCTAAGAAAACATGTCAGTCAATGCTCAGTTTGGTCTTGCTTCTCTGTAGGCTGATTCAATTTGAGAAATTAAATGTTCTTGAAACCTAATCAAAACCAAGGTGTTGATCTACCTTTTAAAGCCACAAAGATGTGGCTAATACAAGGACATTTACAGATGCATGGACCTTTAAGCAAGAAAAATAGGGAAGTTGAAATAAAAAAGGTGGTGAGGAAGGCATCTCAACATAAAAAAGGTTAAAGGAACGATAAGATTTACCAAAGATTTAATTCCGTCCCCTGAATCTGGGATGGAGTAATCCCAAGCAGCAGTACAGCCTGGGATCTGTCTGCATCTGCTGAAAAGAACCTGAGGGTCCTAGTGGGGAATAAGCACTGAAGGCAAATGGTGCTATGGGTCAGTGAACACAAAAGTATAGTGCAGCCAACTGATCAAAGGTGTCATTACCCCACTTGGCAGTTCCTAGGCCACATCTGGAATACTGCGTCCCCTTTTGGTCAACGTAAGTCCAAGAGAGACATTAAAAAATGAAAGGTCCAGCAAGTGTGCCACCATGATGGTCAGAGGGTTGGAGGAATTTGGTTTGTGCAGCCCAGAGAAAAGACAACTTGGAGAGATCTAGTCCTATATCATCGTAGTCCTCAATCAATCATAGTCCTCCAATAATGAGAGGTAGTTACAAAGAGGATGGAGGATGCCCAGGCACAGGACAATAGCCAACAGGCCCAAGTTGTTGCAGGTGAAATTCCATCTGAATATAAGAAAAAATGCTCTGGAGTGCAATTAAACACTGAAAGAGATTGACAAGAAGTGGTGGTACTTCCCTCACTGGGGATACTTGACTCACCTTGACAAGGCACTGGATAAGCTAAACTCAGACCTGCTTTCAGCAAGAAGGTGGATTAAGTAAGATCCCTGCCAACCTAGACTGTCCAGTGGCTCTGTGCTAACTTAGGAGAGAATGAAGAAATTCAGAAGACAAGCCATAGGCTGAAGAAGGGCTTTGATACATCAGACAGCACTGACTTTAAGCTGAGCTTCCTTAGTGGTAACAGGTTTTAAAAGCTGAAGGTGTCAGCTGTAGAGCTACATTGTTGTATGATAGAAGAGAGTGTGTTAAAACCTGTCAGCTGCCTTGGGACAGTTCAGTGTGTATGGCAAACCCTTCATCTCCAAATGGACCAGTAAGCAGAGCCCTGAATCCTGGCAAAGTATTAGCAGCCAGAGGCAAGAGTTGGTACCAGCACACTTGAGAGCTCATGGTTCCATTGCATCAAGACTAAAGGAGTACGCCCCTCAAATGAAGAGTTTCAGTGCATTCATGTAGCACACAGATTAGCAGATTGAAATTTTGATCTCAGAAATGAGAAAAGCTTAATGGCTGCTTTCTCATATCTTTATTTTGAGGGAGGAAAATAAATTACTGCTAGTGACTACATTAAGTCTAATTCTGCAGTGGAAACTACAAGGAATACATTTATCCTTAGTTTCTTAAAAGTTAACTTGCTGCTTATCTTTAACAATTTCTGATACCAAAAATATGGTAAGAATTGCATTCCAACAGCTTTTATTGTAACCTTGCCTCTATTTATCATTTATTTACTTAATTTCTTCACTTTCCACATTAAATATCTGATGATAAAAGGAGGGTTACACTACTACTTTTTTTTGCTGTAAGTTCATTTAATTAGATGCACATTTTAGCATATTTGTTTTATAGAGATATTAACTTAGGAAGCTTATCTTCACACTAAGGAGAGGAATGATTTTTTTTCTTAAGGAAGAAAGCACTCATCTAAACTGGATTGTCAGCTTCTCATGAGGTTCTTCTGGTTTGCTTTCAAGCCGTTTTTCTTGACAAGTGGCTACTTTGTTCCAGTCAAGACAGGTAAATTCCACCAGAGATCTTGTCACTGCCCGTACTAAGATGGCATCTTCGGGGTTCTCAAATGGTACTCTGCAAAAAGGAACAAAGCAAATGTGCATTGTCTGAAGGTTTCCAGACTATTTTGGAGCTAATTTATTTGACCCACTTTGTGTAGAAAGTGAAGTTAGAAGTCCTAATTACACTAATGGTGAGGATATGGGAATTTTAAACATTTGGAAGGCTTCCTTTTGTTAATAAATATAAGAAAGCAAAGCAATATGAAAAAGGTCATAATTACAGGATTCTAACAAAAAATAAAATATTTAAAATACATTTACAGTAGACTTTAAAATGCTACTTTGTTTTCACTGCTCTTTTTTTCCCAAAAAAATATATTTGTTGTATACTTTTCATGCTTTGAGTCAATGGAAATAATAAACCATTATTATTTCATAGTGATATGATACCCATTAATCATAGAATGGTTTGAGTTGGAAGGGACTTCAAGTGTCATCTAGTTACAAAACCCTGCATGGGCAAGGACACTTTCCACTAGATTACATTGCTCAAAGCCCCATCCAACCTGGTCTCGAGCACTTCCAGAGAGGCATCCACAACTTCCCTAGGCAACCTATTCCAGTGTCTCACCACCCTCACACAAAGAATTTTTTTCTAATGTCTAACCTAGATCTACCCTCTCCTACTTTAAAACCATTACCTCTTGTTCCATCACTATATGCCCTTGTAAAAATTAATTAATTAATGCAAATGCACATGTTTTTCAACACAGATCTTTTAACTAGCCACCAGGCAAATATGCCCTCTCCAAGTTCTGAATGCAGAATACTGTGAGTTTATGTTGTTCATGTACTCTGCCACAGCTGAGGTCTGGGAGACATAAGTGGCTGACTCAACATCAATGTGGAATAGACAAAGACTTTATGTTAGATCAAAACTTTTTGACTCTGATACAATATTGAAATCTGATCTTATACAAACTTACTTCATAAATATGTACTTGTGGCAACCCACACATAATATAAATCATGTGACTATTTTCACCAAGTGTAACACACTTTGTCACAGTAAAACATTTCTTCCTAACATCTAATCTATATCTACCCACTTTCAGCTTAGAACAGTTACCCCTCGTTGTCTCACTACAAGCCCTTATAAAAAGTCCCTGTCCAGCTTTCCTGTAGGCCCTCTTCGAGTACTGGAGGGCTGCAATTATGGTCTCCGCAGAGGCTTCTTTCCTCCAGGATGAACAATCCCAAATCTCGTAGCCTGCTTCATAGGAGAGATGCTCCTGAAAGATCTTTGTGATCCTCTTTATGATCTTTGTGGCCCTCCTTTAGACTTGCTCCAACAGTTCCATGTCTTTATCTTGGGAACCCCAAAACCAGACACAGTACTCCAGGTGAGGTCTCATGAGAGCAGAGCAGAGCAGAGAGGGAGAATTACCTCCCTCGACCTGGTGGCCATTCTCTTGATGCAGCCCAGGTTGGCTTTCTAGACTGCAAGTCCACATTGCTGGTTCATGTTGAGCTTTTAATCAACCAACACCTCCAACTCCTTCTCCTCAGGGCTGTTCTTAATCCCTTCTCCTCTCAGCATGTATTTGTGCCCTGACCCATGTGCAGGACCTTGCACTCGGCCTTGTTGAACTTCAAGATATCCACATGGTACCAACTCTCAAGCCTGTCAGGGACCCTCTGGATGGCCTCCCTTCCCTCCAGCATGCTGACCACACCACACAGCTTGGTGCCATCTGCAAACTTGCTGAGGGTGCCCTTGATCCCACTGTCCATGTCTCCAACAAAGATGTTAAACAGCCCCAGTCCTAATACTGACCCCTGAGGAATATCAGGGGTCACTAATCTCCACTTGGACATTGATCCCTTTACCACAGCTCTTTGAGTGTGACCATCCAGCCAATTCCTTATCCACTGAGTGGATAGATGACATCAGTTCTTCTTCCCTTACATCATACATAAGCTTTTATTATTTCCTTTAATATTTTTTTCAAATATTTAATATGTAAAGCTAGAAAGTAAACACAAGCCTGATATCTGAAATTTGTAAGTTTACAAAGTTTATAAAGATAGCATCTAAAAATGTCATCACATTAAAATACAGCCTTTCCACTGTATCAATCCAGCCACAAGAGATAAGTTTTACACTTATTTGTATGATCTTGAAATCAAACAGAATAAAAGTAACATAAAGTATAGGCTAAAAACATTTCATTTCAGAAGTCATAATATTTTCCAGAGATTAAATATTTTTGGACAGCCAGTCAGGAGAAAGTTTTCTGGACCATAATATAGACCAGCTATTCTGATGCTCTAATAGTTAAAGCGTGCTTATTCTAGTGACCAGTACATGATTTTATCTGTTAAGAGCATTTTTATATATCAATTTCCAAATGTGGAATAGCTTTCAATATTTAATTTCAAACAGCTGAGGGTAGGTTGTTGCATCTGAATAATACAGATTTGCAACTATGTTATATACAAAGCTCAGTTTTTTATCAAAAGCTGATTTTTACTGGACATTTTCTCTGGTTAAGGCAATTTTTTAGGCACAAAAAGAAGAAATCAAGTAAACACTTCAGAGATGCAAAATTTTAAAATAAATAAATAACTTACTTATTTGTGCGATTTTCAAATTCACAACCTATAACAGAAAATTTAAATTAAGACATTAATGGCTGTTCAGCATTTCCATTATCAGAGGATTACCATCCTGATCCTAAATTATTTGTTCAAATGATCTGAAAACTAACAGTTGATTTGAAATGTTCAGGATCATCATTTATTCAGCTACTGTGGAAATAAGTATCTGTTAGGGTTATGTAGTTCTTGTATTTTATTTTCTGTAGACATACATTTTTTTCTTTCACATAAAAATGTTGCCACTGTCTATATATGTGAATGATTGCATGACAAAGACAATTGTATGCATACTTTGACAATTAACAGCAAAACAAATATATTATTTCATATTATTAAACTATCCTTTTTCCCCCTAATCTTTAAGAAATTATTCTTAAATACACTGCTTTGAGGTTTACTATCGTGATATATACATTAAAAG